TCTATCTAGTAATTTTTCTTCTTTTTCATTCATTGGTATATTACGATATTATCTGATATATCTTCCTCACACCTCGCAAAACATTACCTCTCTCCCCTTGGTCTAGTAAGAATGGTTCGTATATTCATAAGATTTTAATGCTGACTCAGATGTTGATAGATATTCACAATCCTGGCAAAACTGAGTGTACCCCATAATCGGTGTTTTGTTTACATCATTATTTTTTATTCCTRCGGGATTGTTTATGTTAATATTGTCTAATGAGTATTTTTTTTAAATTAAGATTGGATAAATTTAATCGATTGTGGCATTCGTCTAAGTACCGATTTATATGTTTTGTAATAATATTTTCATCTGGTATAACTGTATACATGCATGTGTTACGTAAAGTGAGTGTTGATAACTCTTGATTTATTAATGCTGGTGTCCAATGATTATTTTCATGAATTACTCCTATCGTCGATCGGTTTTTTCCAGTATATTATAGCAGTATTTAATACGTTATAMTCTGTGTTTTTGTGTTTAGAGATTATTGTTAAATTATTAAATTGGCCTGCTAAATATGCCAAGTTATCTTCTGTCATATAATATCTCGATTTCGTATTTGGTATATTAATTTTTCTTAGTATTTCTAATTTCTATTGTGGATACCCTTAGCCCTTCTTCTCTCAAACATACACGCAGCGCATGTGCACCACAATCACCGTCGGAAGGTACTTCCTCGATTTTGTTTAAGTGTGACGCATCAAATAAAATGCTCTCCATCAGTGTGTGGTCACTAATGTCAGTAAAAACAAGTCTCATTCCATTACCTATTATTAATTTTTTCGGTACACTCATTGTTATTTAATATTGACTTATTTGTGTTGGTGGTCTTGTTATTATTTAATATTGGCTTTTTGATGTCATGAATAGATATTGTTATGCATGTATTGCGAAACATGAACCTCAGCATACCGGAAATAATGGGCCATTCTTTTCCGTCTTGTCCTGCGTATATTTTTGGTAATGCAATTCTTTCAATTTGTTTTTCTAAGCAAAATGTCCTCAGATTTTGTAATGTTGCAAATATGTAAACGTACGTTGGTTTTTCGTAATAGTATTTTTTTGTAACTAAGTATAATAGCCATCGTTTTTCTGTTTTAATGAATGCGATTTCCCTTACATCTTTTTTTTTTWAATTGAATTATCGATGTTATTAAATTTTTTACGAAACTGTAAAGCGATAGGTACCGCAGTTCATTGTTAAGCATTCGCTGACGCAATGAGCGATGGCGTCACTTGACTGATCRCTGAACAAATCGCCAGTTATTTCCTGATATCTATGGTTAAAGTGTTGTTCATTATTATATTAAGAGGACGCCACACCCGCATGTGTTGTCTCCGTCTTACAAACGTACCTATAACATAGCAAAATCTGTTTAGCGCGGGACAACTGTTCTCCCTCAATATTTATAATAGAATTTTCAAAATTTCACAACGCATAGGTAAGAACTTTATCTGTGTCATAGCGTCGTTATTTTTTTGATAGCACAAACCAATAATTTTAAGTAATTTAATAAAAAATAACGACACTATGACACAGATAAAGTTCTTACCTATGCGTTGTGAAATTTTGAAAATTCTATTATAAATATTGAGGGAGAACAGTTGTCCCGCGCTAAACAGATTTTGSTATGATATAGGTACGTTTGTAAGACGGAGACAACACATGCGGGTGAGGCGTCCTCTTAAGCAATAAAAATTGTTGATACTCGTTTCGTATTTCGTGGGAGACGTATTGTGTTTACGTTCCTTGTATATCGTTTTTTACTTCGTGAGTGTTTATTGGTAATTTAACTTCTTGATTTTCATATCTAAATAATATTATATTATTGTCTTTTAAATTCATTACTTTTTGTGTTTTTACCATAAAATCTAAACCTAATAAGATTGGGGCGCAT